GTGCACACAGAAAAAGCTCAGCACACTCGTATACATTGATATGAATATTCATAAGGGTCATGTGACCTTGCAATTAGCAATGTGCTCATTACACTTGGTCCAGATCAACTTTGCCACCATGAGCTCGGATATCCTTATTCCTGTGACGTTGGCGTAGTGCCCGCATCTGTGCCAACCATCCCAGGTGCCCTGGCATCACAGCTCCACTTTATCTTCGTACTGACAAATGCAAGAGGCTCTCTGGCTGTCCAGGTAGGGCTTACACCCCAGGTGCATGACGGCGTCGAACAACAGTCTGACTGCCGACTCGCAGGCTGAAGGGCACAAAGCAGGAGATCAAGTGTGAGTCATGCGGTAGGAGGCGTTACACATCCAGCAATTTCAGGGGCCAGTGAAAACAGAACGTAATGGAAGTTCTGTTCGGAAGAGTCGTATTGTGCAGCTGAAATATTTGGCAAAGAATTTTGGAAGTGAAATATTTGGTTCCATTTTGGAATTTAATTTGACAGTTTCATTTTGAAATTTTGGATTCGAATCATTTTGTAGTGTTTCAGTTCTGTTTGGGAACAGATTTGACTGAGATCCATATTGGAAATCGTTTGGTAGGATTTGATAGTTTAGTTATTGAAGTGAAATATTTGGCAGAGTTCGTCACATTTTGCAATTTCTTTCAACTGAGTGCGACTGTGGATAACAATAAAGCAAAACCAAACTCTTTAAGCAAATCTGCTTGCCGGCGCACTATTTCCACACTATTAACTCAGCGATTCTCAACCCATGGGTCCACGACCCAAATTCGGGTCGCGGCTACTTGTGAAACGGTCGCAAAGCGGAGTTGGAAATGTAAGCATTTTTAATCTAGCAAGCTCCTATACCAGGGGTGGGCAATCTTATCCAGAAGGGGGCGCTGTGTATGCGGGTTTTCGCTGCAGCTCCCTAATTAGATTACTAATTAGCGGACTGATTGGCTGAGGAGTCCTCACACCTGGGTGTGAACAGCTGCCCTACAGGTTATCCCAGAAACCTGCATACACACCGGCTCTTTGCGGATAAGATTGCCCACCCCTGTCCTATGCTGGTCCACGATCAGATTTCCCAGCACCAATCCTAGAATTAACCTATATAAACTGGTCTTGGATTTGCAAATGCTGAAGCGCAAAACTAGTGAACACTCAACCAATCCAAGAAGCCAAACCACAAACGGTTAATTTAAAATTCACTTGCACATCCAATCAGATTTGTGCAATATATAGGCATTGATTGGCGTAAATTGCAGAGTGCGCTGCGTGCTTGATCACAGTGGTAATTTAGCTATACTTGATATAGGGTCGTGACTGAGCTGGTATAGTAAAGATTGGGTCGCGGTGCAAAAAAGGTTGAGAACTATTGTTCAAACTGAATATTAGTAGCAAGGGAGCCCTTGAAACCAAAGACTGAATTAGCCATAACAGACACTACACTGTAATCTCAGCCATCGGTTGTTTTTGGGCAGAGGATTCCAGAAAGGGTCGCATACCTTGTACGCTTTGAGACAATCCCAGCGTGCGCTGCACGTTCCGGCAGATGGTCTCCAAACAGACCTGGAACTGCTCGTCACAGTCGTGCTTGTGGCTGCCACAAGTGTCATAGCATCGGTCATGCTGGTTACAGCACTTAGTCATGGAGGGGATGCCGATGTCAAACTAGGAAATGAGATGGGAGTGGGGAGGGGGGGATACTATGTAATGATGCTGAAATGTAAGTGCACACTGATTTAAACCGTTGAAGCTACAGCACTGACTGGCTGCTTATCATCTACAGAATCATCTCATGTTGAATTCCCAACATGACGCCATTTTATTCTAAATACATCAATGCCCCTTGAACACTATATAGAAGAGAAGATAAAGTATTACTAAACACATATCATAACTGCAAAGTTTGACTGTTCCATTTTAACAATACTCACCCTGCCAGTTACTGGTCACTGATAACGTACCTGAAGCCCAAACACTGGAGATCCGCATCCGTTCGGCGGTGGGGGTTTATAACCGCGGCGAGGCGCCGGTTTATAACCTATGTAAGATGGACAGAAATGCTTACCAAGTATCACGTGAAAGCTGCATAGCAAACCTAAAACAGATAACAGTTTTAGCACGACTAAAATATATGATCATTTTAAACCGACACCAAATGACTAAGGGTCATAAAATAAGCTTTAAACTGCAGCATGCAGGGATGCATATAGACTGACTCCCGGTATAGGTGTAAATATACTCTGATACGTACCGTCGCTGCATTTATAATGACACAGACCGTCTTCCCCTCCGAACAAGTCCAGGGCGGCGTTCAGGTACGTGTCTATCTTATGGACGCCGTTCCGTATGGTTTTCAGAGCCATTCGCCAGTCCGGGGTTTCCGGTTCGCCGTGGTGATGATTGCCGGAACACAGGCGACTCATAAACCCGAAGGAAAGCAGCAGGGCGAAGACGGATATGAAGATGTAGTGCATGATCAGCCCGCCGCCGTCCCTGTGAACTAAAGAGGGCATTTTAGGCGTTTGGCTTTACTCCGCCGCCTGATTTTCAAATATCCGTCTAATATTAGTCGTCTCTCAAAGCCAGATTCATCGGTCAAACAGCGACATCAAGACTCGCCTGGGTTAATCTGACCCGTCACCTACGGTTTGTTTGCGCGGCCACTTGTCAACATGGTTATTTTGAGGCGAATTACTGCTTCCGGGGTGTGTAATGCATGTGACAGCACAGACATTAAGATGACGTGGTGCTTCGATCACCTGTGTCAGAAGGGCACACCGCTGGGTCCGAAAGCGACCCGCTATGTTTCCCAGCTTCCGAAGCGTCTGTAATCCGTAGAATGCGAAAAATGCGTAAATAAAGCTACTCGCTCGTGTGTCCGGAGTGTATTACTTTGCAAAAATTTGAATAAACTTGCTACATACAAATCGTAGCGATGCAAAAGGATACCTAAATAAAGCCGTGGTAAGCACTGAAGCACCGCGGAGCGCAAATTTGAAAAAAATGAAACTATGACGCAATGCGTATTCAAATACATACTATGTTACGCAATATACGTAGCTCACTACCTGCAGTGATGGATTCATTTGGAATGAACCACATCTGCAAGCCATCGTTGTGCACAGCGGTGAATGAAAATGCATAATATATAAGGCATCCATCACGTGTGTATGAACATTAAATTAACCCTATTTATATAACATCACATGTATTTTCTAACAACTCTTTCTAAAGCACTTTTTAAACTGTTAACTTGGTGATACTCTCAATCAACAAGCAAAAATGTGACATTTAGCAACACCAGACTAGTTTCAGTAATAACTTAGACTTTATTCAAATTATTCGTGAGACAGACATCTACCTTGGCTACCTTAATATTTTAATAAGACTTCTGTAGGTCCAAACTGTCAAAATTAAAATATTTACAAACTCGCTCAATAAAACAAATTGACGTCCATCTTCAGAGAAGTTCTGACAGGTCACGGATTATGTTAAGATGCTCTTTACAGTGCAGTCAATGTTCCTCCCCTAGGGAATTCCTCAATTACGGGTGCAGGCTGCAGTGCGACTCCGCGAGGCACTGGCCTTTCTACCAGTTGCCTGAAGGGGGCAGCATATCTTTAATGCGGCTTTCGAGAAAAAAAAAAACTATTAATATAACATGAAAATGCTGTAAACTGAACAATGTAGATCTAGGAGAGAGAGAGAGCTTGTGCAAAACACTGTGCATTCACAGCCAAACACCCTCTGGAACCCCACGCACCTCCCCCCAAGAAAAGTGTCTTATTCCAGGTAAAGGGGGGGGGGGGAATGCAAGTTGCACTCAGTAGTATCTGGAAGCTGGCTGTGGTTTTGGTTCATCAAAGTGCACAAGGTGATTTCCAGGGAGGGAAGCAGGGGTCGGCCATCTTAGATGAACTTTCACAGTAAGGCTAATTCCATCCCCTCCCTCATAATTTCTTATTTACCTTCAGTTGTATTTACATGGTTTTCCTTAAAAAAATGTGGCTGTGCATATATGCACACACACAGCCTTGATATATATAATTATCTGTATATATATATATATAGGAGTCCGGCTAGAATGAGCTCATCCCCCACGGTACAAGTTGTTCAGTCTCTCTAGCTCTTTGCAGTTGTCCATGTTCATAAGGTCTGCCTTCCTGCGCAGCCGCTCGTCTCTGTAGACCTTGGCGGCATACAGTAGGTCGGTTTCTGGATGGGGGGGGGGAGAGAAATCAGTCAGCAAGCAGAACCTTTGCAGGTCAGATGCAGCGAAAACGTCACAGTTTCATACAGTTGGGAAATGATTAAATCCAGTACTAGGAATAAATGACAGTTTAAACGAAACAGGTGATGGAGCCATTTGTAGAAGCTGATGTGCATCCGCCATGGAGACCTACTTGTCTGCTTCTCCTTCCAGCAGTTGTTTCGGACGTTGGAGATGTACTCATCCTCGACGTTCTTCTCAACCTTCTGCAGAGCCGAGCCCTTGTACTCAGAGCGGAAGTCCCTGGCGACGTAGTAATCTATGCGCAGGTTCTCCGTCTGACGCTTGACGGTCTGCCCTGTGGACCTGGAGACGCGAGAGGACAGAGATGTGTGCGGATGTGGACGGAGGCATTCAGCAGGACAGCCCATGTCTGAAGGACCCGGGGGACACGCCAAGGGCCGTAAAGGAGGAATGCAGGGTCCGGGAAGAACACAAGTGCCTCACAGCTAAATTGAAACATATCACAGGTGTAGTTTTTGAGGGCGGGGTCACCTACGGTCTGGAGTAGAGGCTGTATGGAGGATTGGACACCATCAATTGACTCAAAATGGACACCAGGATCAGCACCACGATGGGCATTAGCTGGATGAACATGGAGAAGCCGCCCTGGAACACAAACAAGAAAGGGTCAGTTTTTCACAAGACAGAGCCTCTGTGTGAACACTAGGGGGCGACAGAAGAGACACTCACATCTCCCCTCTCCTGCCTCTCCTGCCTCTCCTGCCTCGTGTGGTTGCTGTGGTGGTGACTGTACTGCGTAGGGCCATTAGTGAATGTGTGAGCACTCGCTGAAGAAAGAAAACAGTCAATCAATAATACAAATGTATTTGAAAGAAAAAAGAAAAAAGAAAAAAACACCAGTAGCACACTGCAGGAAAAATGGAAAACTGAACTGAACTGAAAACAAAACTGCAGTAACCACCGAGGGTTTTACTGTCATCGTCTAGTTTTCCCTCAGAGACTTTACAGATTATTTATAAGCTTAAGAATTATTATTTTAAAAATTGCTCAATCGTTCTTTGATAGGATACCAAAGTGCCAGAAGGTTGTGAGGTCATGACCTGATAACATAGAAAAGGCGGTTATATAACAAACAGGAGCACTTTAATTCCGTGGGTGTAATTGGTTATTCATTTTTCTGAAGTTAAGTGAATGGGTGCGCTCTCCCTCCCTCCCTCTCTCTCCCTCTCTCTCCCTCTCTCTCCCTCCCTGGGTTATGTGTTATTCTGCCCTTTTGGGGACATTTCTTTCAGCCCTCACAAGGCGAAACATAATTTTATTAAAATCTGTGAATGTAATCAAGAAACTAAGAATGTCAAAAGACTTTTTTGTTCTGTTACTTATAGTTAAAGGGAAAGAGATTGGTTGTCATTGTTGACACACCACAGCACTCAGTGCACAAAAACGAAATATGTGCTCTGCATTTAACCCATATGTGACATTGCTCAGGGTACCTCGGAGGTATTTGGCTGGGTAGGGGTTAAGGTCGTCATTATTTGGATTAGGGTTTTGCCCATAGAAATGAATGGAGGGTCCCCACAAAGAAATGAGTACAGGTGTGTGTGTGTGTGTGTGTGTGTGTGTGTGACAGGACGTACAGGATGGGAAGCCGCCTCCGAAAAACATGTTGAACAGGTCCTCGGGGGTGATGTCCGCCTCGAAGCCCCGATGGAAGTCGAAGTTTCCGTGGGCGTGGCCCGAGCTGGCTGGCTCCTCCCCTCCCGTCAGGTCGTACTGCTTCCGCTTGGCTGGGTTGCTGAGCACCGCGTAGGCATTGCCGATCTCTGCGGGACAGAGGCCAGTGGCCGTTCGGGCCTGTCACACAGAACACCTCCCCGACCTTCCCTGGGCTCGAGCCGCCACAATCCGTGCCCCCCCCCTCTGATAAATAATCTGAGCCGGCTCAGTCATACGAGAACCCGTCTCCACCCTCACACTGAGCGCTCAGCTCTCACCCCATGCTTTTCAACCGAGACACCCAAGGATCAGCGAACGCCACGCGACTTGAAACGCGAGATACGCCGGGCGGCTCACTTTTGAAGGCCTCGGTGGCTCCGGGGGCGTGGTTCTTGTCCGGGTGGAACTTGAGCGCCAGCTTCCGATAGGCCTTCTTCAGGTCCTCCTCCCCAGCATCCTTGGCGACTCCCAGAACCTCATAGTAGTCCTTGCACTTCTTTATCCTGTGAGAGCAGCCAGCCGTGGGTCAGTGCATGGTTAACTGCTGTTAATCTGTCATCATCCATCCATATAGTTTTTCAGTACTGGGTAGCGGGGAGCCTGGAGCGTATCCCAGGCAGCGGGGGGCGGGGGGGAGCGAGACGCTGGACAACATGCCAGCCCATTGCAGGCCACACACACACAAACAGTTCCACACTATCATAAACTTTGTCACCTAATTGCGCGTCTTTTGACCGTGGGAGGAAACCAGATCAGCCAGACGACACACGATACCGGGCAAGCTCTACACACGCCGAGCAGGATTTGAACCCCTAACCCTTGAGCTGTGACCTAATATATAATTAATCACTGCAAAACTGGACAAAAAAAAAATACACTGCCGTCAAACACGCTTTTACGGGTGTCTGGAAGTAAAAGGGCAACCCTCAAGGGGTCAAATAAGCCCCCAAAGGCTGTGAAGGGGTGTTCGTGCAACACATGGCACAAGTTGCATAAGCCGCCGCTGCTATAGAAAGACCCAGTCATCGCAGGTCCCCTTAGGCCTGCCTGGAGCTACCGCAAGCACGTAGCTCGCTGCGACCACCCACCCCGCGGGGTGCAACAAGAAGTGGCAGACATCCCCCACTTGGGGGCCAGGACTTAAATTTCGACCCTATCCATTCAGGGGTACAGCCAACTTGGACTGGGTTTCCATAGTGACAGCCTGCACCTGGCAGCAATGCTGTGACTGGCTAGTCTCCAGTGGCCAGGTCAGAATCCTGAGTAATCGCCACCTGGTGACGCAGAGTGGGATTGCTCACAAAAGCAGGAAAGCTATAACCGGGGGTGCAGCGGTTTCACACAGCACACCTGGACCTGTGCCGGCTGGCAGGTGCGATGCACGCATCTCTGAGCTTTGGCTCTTACGTAACCTCGCTGTGGGGGGTGCGTGCGTGTGTGTGTGCGTGCGTGTGTGTGTGTGTGTGTGTGTGGGTACAGCCCAGTCTCACTGTATGGGTGATTATTCATTACACCCTCTACAGATTAGACATGATGAAAACTCTCCATCAGTTTTATGCTCTAAGACGGTGGGTAAAGAAAAACTCCGTCCATTAAGGCTGTGCACATCCGATACATTTGTCCTTATGAGCAATTAGAGACAGAAAACGCCAGTTTTTGATGCAACGCTGAGGTTTGGAAGAAGAAGACTTGGTGCTTTGCATCAGCTACCCCACCCTGAAGGGAAAGACCGACACCCCACAGTTTGTAAAACACACTTTACGCTGTTACACACGACTTACTGGGCATTTCCAAAACACTGCATTGTGCTCTCTGTACATCTCTACTACGATCGGTTTCAAAATTTACCAAATTTAAAGTATTTTGGTACAATGT